CGCTGCTTCTGCGTGTATTGCCCTCGTACTCACACAACCGGCCCCGCTCCACTCGTTACACATTAATATTGTTATTGAAAACGTTACGACGGTCGACGACGTCTTCGACTCTTCATGTAATCGTGTCGCTGTCGCGTGTGCGCGTCTCGAGTACGCGGTYGTGCTTTCCTGTTCTGGCTTCGGATAGTCGTTTTATCGTTATAATTTACATTATATTTTATTTTACAACGTGTGTGAACGCCCTATAACATATCGGAGTTTCGCATCCGGTGACAACACTTTTTTTTTTATCGTTGTATCCGAATCCAACGCACGTCGTTCACCGGTGGCGTAGTCGCCAATCGTATTTTAATTTAAAAATGCATGTACCACGAAAAATGTGATATATAATCTGACCGTTGTTTTACTTTGGCATTTTGTTGTATTCGTTGTGGACGGACAGGTGGACTTCGTTGTGCCATGTACGAGATAACAACAATATACTGTGATATAATAATAAAGTGTCGTGTGTTTCATAAGTAAATACCGAATTGAACATCTACACAAATATTGATGATTTTTCTAATGGCTCTCAACACTTATCGAAACTCTGGTGCAATTAAGAAAATATAAAACCGATCCATATCAATCGTTTTAATAATTTTCGATTAATGTTTACTCGGATCATCAATTATTAACTTAGTTATTATGTTTAATAAATAGAGTAAACTTTCTATTTTGAGAAAAAAAAAGTATTCTTAAAGAAAATCGGTTTATGTATATTTAATCTGCACTATCGGCTGTGCGAGAAAAGCGTAAAAATCGTAAATTTCACATCACGTAWTGTCGAATGCCACGATCGCCGTGCAATGAGCCACTAAAGTAAAAGCGTTTCAAATCATATTATCTACACCGCTGTGCAGTGATTTTCTTTCAAATAATCGTTTGGATAGATAATAAAATCATACAATATTTCTTGTGTCAAAATGGTTCTTGTTGAACAAGTATGTAATCATGTTTATATTAGATTTATAAATATGCCGTTCTCTTTTGTAATATTTATACACTAATTATTACTCTAAACTTCCTATAAGATAAATTATACTTATATATTCAATTCACAATCACAATTTGTTTAATTATTAATTTTGCTATGAATTTATTTTTTATAATGAATATTATTATATTATATTATACAGGCTTTCTACAAGGATTTGCTAATTTTAAGTGGTAGGGTAATGCAGATTTCATTACCATGCTAATTTTAATTAGTAGATCTTCTTGAATATAATACACGATAACTATTTACATGTACCCCTGTATGTACCTAAATATACAATATAAAAGTTATAAATAAATTATTAACTATGATTTTTAAAATACAAAAAATAAAAATAAAATAATATTTTGTGGTAGTACGTTTTAAGCAAATAACAAATAAACATATATTTGTATGAACACATTTAAAAAAAAAAGTTCTAATACTGTATAACTTTGGAAAATTACTTTAATGGATGTCATGCTTTCCTAAGATCAACTAGTAAATCCTTTTAACTTCTTTTAAAAACATTAATTTATATTCCTTTACCATTTGTCAACCAACAAACATTAAAGGTTTTATTGGGGTGTTTTTTTTCAGTATCCACCAATGACGATCTTATATGACCCAACAATTAGAAAGGATTCCACAACCAATGGTGTTGCGTCTCCACAATTTGCCAACGAACAAGAGCTGTGTCTTATGTACTTTGATAAATGGAGCGAACAACACCAAATCGATTTTGTCGAACACCTATTGGCACGCATGTGTCATTACCAACACGGACACATAGACACATATCTAAAACCTATGTTACAGAGAGACTTCATATCACTCTTACCCAGTGAGTATTTAAGTTTAAATATGAAAGACATTTTGATATTAACAGTTTTGCTTGTGTTACAGAAAAAGGCCTAGACCATGTGGCCGAAAATATTTTATCTTACCTCGACGCTGAATCTTTATATGCTGCAGAGTTGGTATGTAAAGAATGGTATAGGGTAATCTCAGAAGGTATGCTTTGGAAAAAACTAATTGAACGTAAAGTACGTACAGATTCATTATGGCGAGGACTTGCTGAACGAAGAGGATGGTAAGTTTTATTATTATGCCATATACCAGATAAATATTCATGATCTTTATTTATTTCAGGATTCAGTACTTGTTCAAACCAAAGCCAGGTGAACACCACCCAGACCACTTCTCCTATAGAGCTCTGTTTCCTAAAATTATACAAGACATAGAAGTAAGTGATATTTATTTTAATTATAATTATATATTAAATTAAATATTGTGTGAATATTTTGGGTATATTTTAAATTGTAGTTGCTCATGTGAATATTGTTTAAAATAACTATATCTCGTATTTTATGTATAGAAACTTTTATAAAAATCTTATATACCTAATAATAATCAATAAAAAATAAATATTATATTAGAATAAATCAAACCTTAATTAATTTCATGCTGATATTATTTCAAACAATAATTATCAAATTATTTTTAATAAATTCTCAAACATGAAACTATTGATATTTTAATTTTGAATAGCAAAATCACCATTATCTAATGTTTTTGGTATAGTAGTTTTTTTATAAATAGACCTAGAAAAAGCTGATAAACAAGACACATAACATCTAAGCTGCGTAAAAATTATAATTATATATAATTAAAACAAACTACTAGCAGTTGTTTAAATTTTTATACTAAATAGAAATGCATTTAAAAATGGAATTATTATTTATTTGTTCATAAAAATTAGTAAAATTGGTTGGTAATAAGAAATAACTATTTAAATTTTTATTTATTTGCACATGTTGTAATATTATGGCATTTTAAATATGCATTTTTGTTTTGTATAAAAATTTAAATAACTGTCATTAGTTTGTTTTTATAATATATAATTATAATTTGTACGCAGCTTAGATGTTATGTGTCTTGTTTATCAGCTTTTTCTAGGTCTATTTGTGTATCCTAAGATGTACACAACATGTTTAGTAAAAGCCCGAATAAAATAAAGTATTTCAGCAGGGTTTACTGAGTACAAACAGTAAACCCTAGCTATAACTAGTAAAACCTAGATTTACCTAGTGATCGGGCATTTACGGTAACATATACATACTAAGTTTGTTAGTATGGAATCTATTTAAAATGTATGGTTTTCATCTCTACTTCATATTTAAAGTTAATATATTAAAATTTAAGTAATATATTTTTTATCTTTCAGAGTATAGAATCAAATTGKCGAACTGGCCATTTTCTATTACAAAGGATAAATTGCCGATCAGAAAACTCCAAAGGTGTATACTGTTTACAATATGATGACAATAAAATTGTCTCAGGTTTACGTGATAATACCATAAAAATATGGGATAGAAATACATTAGAATGTGTTAAGGTAATATATAACAATTTCAGCCTTTTAAAATATTAAATAATAAAATAATGTTGAAATGTAAATCTAACTAAAATTTTGTTTAGGTATTAACTGGCCATACCGGGTCAGTTTTATGTTTGCAATATGACGACAAAGTGATTGTGAGTGGTTCCAGYGATAGTACAGTTCGTGTATGGAACGTTGTTACTGGTGAAATGGTCAATACTCTAATACACCACTGTGAAGCAGTCTTACATTTAAGGTTTAGCAACAATATGATGGTCACTTGTTCAAAAGTAATTTCTAGGTTGTTGTATTGTAATATAAGTAAATCTAATATGTATTTCTTATTTGCTATCGAAGGATCGATCAATAGCTGTATGGGATATGGTATCAACTAGTGAAATGACTTTGCGGCGTGTCTTGGTTGGTCACCGAGCTGCAGTGAATGTTGTTGATTTTGATGATAAATACATTGTATCAGCTTCTGGAGACCGTACTATTAAAGTATGGAATACATCAAGCTGTGAGTTTGTGCGTACCCTCAATGGTCACAAACGTGGTATTGCCTGTCTTCAGTATAGAGATCGATTAGTAGTTAGTGGAAGTTCTGATAATACCATCAGGTATTTATTATTTCAATTCACCTCATTGCTATTAGATGTTGTYTTATTCTATCATTTTTTTATTTATAATTTTAGGTTGTGGGATATTGAATACGGTGCTTGTTTGAGAGTACTTGAGGGCCATGAAGAACTAGTACGATGCATTAGATTCGATAGTAAAAGAATTGTCAGTGGCGCATATGACGGGTAAGACCTCAATATAAATCTTATTCTAGTATCTTGAATAATATATCATAAATCTTAAATACATTTTTTTTTCTATTTCTCTTGTAATATATGACTGTTATTAAGATAATTTTGTATTTTTAGGAAAATCAAAGTATGGAATTTAGTGGCAGCTTTAGATCCCAGAGCACCAGCATCTACTTTATGTCTACGTACACTTATGGTAAGCGTTTTGCACTACATTCACTTTTATGATTTGTTGTTTTTTCGTGATTGAGAGAGGAGGAATTTTTGTCCGGTAGGAGCACTCGGGACGAGTGTTTCGACTCCAGTTTGACGAGTTCCAAATAGTCAGTTCTTCGCACGATGATACAATACTTATTTGGGACTTCCTCAATTACAATGATACAAGTAATTCAGCAGCGAGTGTTAACCATACCAATGAAAACGTGCCTTCTATACTTCCTGGTACGTTGTGTAATTTTAACAATAATGAAGTGTCATTAAAAATGTTTATATGTATATGCTTTTTTTTTGCAGGTTTTGATTAATCCAATAGGCTAGTGATCTGTAATTGACTGGATCAGGTTCGGGTATAATTTATACAGAACTTATTTTAAAATATCGCTAAAAGATGGTCAAAAAATATTCTATCACATCTTGTTCTCATTTTATTTACTTATATATATATGTATATATAATAACATTATATATTTACGTATGTATAATATTTTAACAACTATAAAAACGCCCAAAATAACTGTGCCAATGTTCAGATGTTCTCTATTACCCTTATCTATAGGTACACGTGATGTTTCTCATTTTAAATACATTATATTTATAAATGCATATTTACATAATATATATTTATATATTTGTGTATTTATATATATATTTGTGTATATACATGTGTTAAAAAATTGTCTAGAAGAGCTTAAATGCTTAAAATATTTTATTAATTTTAAACTGAATGTCTGTGATTTTTCTATATGAAATTTCTGTAAGAAATAAACCAGACAAGTGCAATGACACTTCTATACTTTCCTTTTTAAAAACTTTTTCTCAATCGTAATTTTACATCATGTTTGCTTTAAATAACAAAACATGTTTGTAAAGTAATTAATTTTTATGTAATTAAAAAAACAAAAAATTGCATCAACACTAATATTTGTATAGTCCCTATTTGAATAAGTTTTTAAAAAAAATTTTCTTTGTATAAAAGTGATTTTGTATAATTTATATAATTATTATTATAAAATACAAATTATATTAGAAAATAAAATTCTAAACATGTGTAAATTACTTTTATTGAACTATAAAATTTCCATCTCCCATTAATACTAGATCATTTGAAATACATTGATGTCAGTCAATAGTTGCACCATTCATACATTGACTGAATTATTTCGACTTGCAGACACTTGAAAACCACTGTTTGGATTCGTAACAACGAGAACTAATACAATGTGCGCATCTTAAAAGAAATTTTGGACTAACAGGTTTGTTTTCTTGAAGATGTTGCGACACAATATCAGCAATAGCATCAATAAACAAAGAATGGTCATTAGGAGCAGCAGCTCTACGGATATTTTTGACTCCTAGCTAAAAATTTAAAGCATTGTTTTATTAATTATAAAACACATCAAACATTTAAATTGTTTTGAACATTCTATTATTTAACTCATGACTAAATAGATAGGTATGATCACATCTTTACTGATACGCACATTCCTCTTTAGACCTAGTCTATTACTCAGTTCTCGGCTTCTCATTGGCTATCCATATTATCAAGTATCAACAATATTCCACTTGATATTTTTACTTCTACTGAAGCAATTTGAAAAGCAGCAAATCGGCATGTTTGTAATAAATAACAAGTCGATAAGATTAATTAATATAAGCAAAGAAATAAAATAGACAAATTAAATTAATAAGATGTAGACATGTAATGTTGTAGTGGTGTCATATAATATTCTCATATTATAAAATATTAGCGCAAAAACTATAAATGACCAAAGAAATAACTAGAACTACAGTAGGTGAGGTGTGCTTGAAAGTGCAATAACTAAACTGATGTGATCATTTCTATCTATTAAGTCGTGATTTAATAACAGTTTACTGCTATATTCTAAAATTTAAATATCTTACTTCCTCTCCGAGTTCTTTGCAGTATTCAATATCAAGTTCATGTAATGTCTCAATATGTTCATTAACAAATGCAATGGGCACTAATATAAAATTCTTTTTACCTTGCTTCACATAACCTTTGAATGAAAATAAACCACGAGATGTAATGAATCAAATATTATTGAATATTAGAAATAAGCAATGTACTATAGATCAAAATTTTAGTTTTTACCTTTTAATGCATCATCAGTGAATGGTCCCAACCAAGGTAATGGACCAACTTTAGACTGCCAAACTAATGCATAAGGATAAGCATAACCTAGTTCTTCCATCACTGCATGCACTGTTGAGCTTACCTCTGAAGGATAAGCATCTCCTCGGTTAACAGCCTCAACAAATAAATAAACAATTTACTATGAAAAAAAATTTATATATCAGATAATTTAGTTAATTTCATAGACAAACTAAGGCTAGTTATTTGACTACAGTCAATTGTTTATTCAAAAATCAGTAAATATCATACATTTAACATTAAGTATTTGATGTCACTAAAAAATGATTTTTGTATATATTAAATCATTTATATTTTCTCATGAATCCTTAAAACATTTTAAATAGTTATTTAAAATCTATAAAACAATAATTTAACAATATATAACTAGTTTAAATTAATAAATTGACAAATAGCTATATATTTTGTTTTACAACTCCAAAAATAATATGTGGATGTGACTTCAACAATACCTATATTTAAAAATTGTTAATAGTTTTTACTTTCCATTGAAATAAATAAAACTAACATTTTTGAAGAAATATAAATAACTATAGTCTCAACTTAACTCCACCAAGATTTATATTTAAAAGAGATTTATAAAACATCACTATCGTAAACATATGAGCGTGGTGAAACTAGTGCATTGAACTTGATTACTATATAATACTATCAGTAATGAAAATACCATTTAATGCTTAGATCATATACAATGGACAGAGCTACTGCATTATAAATGTGTACTACGGGTTGAAGACAACATTACAAATGTGACTGATTCTATTGCGCAAGTGTAATCATTATAATATTAAATAAAAATATGTATTATGATATGTGATTAAGTTTAAGTATTTACTATTTACGTGAATTCAAAATTTGTCCACAGTTAATATTTAATAATTAATATTCATATTTCATAATTCATTACAGATAATTTTGTAGGTCGCAGGTACCTATTTAAACTATGCTGTGGTAAAATGAATGCCATTTAATACTTAGTTTTATACTAATATACTCTATGTTTAATGTTAAGAGTATTGTATAAATTATACATTTTAAGACATGGTTATTTTCTAAATAATAATTAAAAAATAAATTTATACTTATATTTATTTTAAAATCTAGTTTAAACATAAAATTTTAATTTTAAAAATAATAATTGAAAATTTGTTTTTCGTTATCACAGTTAAAATCACAAAATCGGTGGTGATTGCAGTTGAACCATGTGACTGCGCGAGATATAAATTGGGCGAATGTGCATTTTGTGAAACAATTGTGCCACAATTCACCTTAGTTATGTTGGCTTCATATATCTAGCCAGTAGCTCTATCCATTGTATATGATTTAAGATTTAATGGTTGTTTTTCTTCATTACCAGCATGACATTTAACAAATTAATTTAAAAAAGTATATAGKTAATAATATATCAATATTCTAGTTTATGCAAATGAAATAAAAAAGAGATATAATCATAAATCATAATATAACTTGTATGGGATTTAAATTGATTTTAAGTCGACCCAGACAAAAAGCAATTATTTGGGTAAAAAGTTGATGAGAAAAGATACTTTATTTAATTTTTAAATTTGTTAATGTATTGCCATAATGTAATCCAATACTCCAGTTTATAAATAAAAAAAACAGCAAATTTTACTAAACTGTCAATACTAGTCAATTAAAGCTAAAATAAATTACCTTCAAAGGTAAGGAATGAGCTGAAAATAAGATGACAATATCATCTCTATCACTTTCAGGAAATTTCTTAATTTCATCTGAAATTCTTGAACCAATTGCTTTGATTAACAATGGATGTGTGGCCCATCGATCGATTATGCTCAACTTTAAATTTTCTGGAAACGTTCTAAGACAGAATACTTATTTAGTACCATATTATTATTAGGATTTATGTAAGATTTACTTATTTTGGAAGTATGAATAAATGGCATTAAAACTTGAACCACTAGTAGCACAACTGTATTGAGGATATTGTGAAAACAATACAACTCTATCAGCCCCATCTCTGAAAATATAAACAAACTTACATGATGTTCAAAATTAATAAGTAGTACATACTTCTGTACTTGTTCAAAAGTACTTTCAGTTAATGGCTCAACATATCTAAATGCAACATAATGTTTATGTGGAGCGGTACTAGGTGATATTTTGTCTAATTTTTCACACATTAATTTCCCCTAAAATTGATTCACATTAATTAATAATTATCACCAGTCATAAGTCATACAATAGATATCTCCACAATCTTACTTGAATATTGGTCCACTTTAAAATTGGTGATCCTCCGCCAATTTCAGCATATTTCTTCTGTACTTCTGAAGTTCTCCTCTTGGCAATATATGGTCCTAAAGTGCTGTAAACATAAAAAAAAATGCCATAAATATAGATTTCTGTTTAAATAATTATTCTGACATTCACTTTTGGAAAGGTAACTGCATCATGTCTCGATCTGTCATTATCCGATGCAAATAGCCATGCACTTGATCTACGTGTTGCGGCCCACCCATGTTTAACATGACGACGGCGGTTTTTACTTGAGAAGACATAAATCGACTGGTCAAATCTGAAAACAAATAAAATTCAATATTGAATAGTTAACAAGCCTTAAGTGTATAAAAATTAAAAACCAACCTGAGGTGGGTCTACTAAGATGTTTCAAAGACGAAAACATTTTCATTMGTTTTTAGTCTAAGGAATAAATATTAAAATAAACTAAAAAGTATTAAAAGTAATAACTATTAACAATTCAAACGAAAGTATGAAATTGAAACTTAACTTATTTCATATTTGTCTCATTATATTATATTAAATACACATTTGTACAATATTATACTGTTTGTAGAATGTAGAATATTAGATAACAAATCATAATTATCAAAAATGTTATCACATGGAACATACGTTTTATTTTTACGTATAGAGTGCGGTCATGTATAGTGGATACGATAAAATAGGTCTATGTATTATAGTGGATACGATTTATATTTACCAAGTTTCTATTACTTCTACTTGTTAGCCGTTAGTGCCCATTACCATGACAAAATAGATCTATTTTAGGTACTTAATTAGTACTTACACTGTGTGATGAGTTCTCTATAGTCGTTACATCTCACTGTTGCCTGCTGAAAATCGTTCGCAAATTCACGACGATTGTGTTAGTTTATTTCAAYTCGTTAATATCTCGAATCTATTTAGGTATTGGAGTAAGAACTCGGCAACCATAGGCTCAAATAAGGGGGGCTTACCCCCCCCCCCAAGAATTGCTATAGCACCCCCAAAAACAAATGATTTTAGTACATTATACACATTATTTAATTTAAAAGCATCATAGGAGTATTCAGTATCCTGATCTGAGCTACAGCTTCAGCACCCCCAGATTTCAAACACTATTTGTGCCTRTATCGGCAACACAATGTTTACTAACTTTTTTCAGAGATTCCAATTTATGTATTGCAAATAAGAACCTCCGAAGAGATTTCTATGTACGCTTTGACAAAGATGTCTACTTATTTAAAAAAAAATCTAGGAACTCTAAATGGGTTGAAACACGAAAAATATCTACTGGTTTGAAAAATACACCRTTCCATAAAAATTTAAGATTTACTGATTTCTGATCATTTTATGGATACTCGTCAATTATATCCAAAGAGCAAAGACAATAAGTAATAGAATATTAATAATGAATAAGAAATTAAACATCCAAAACGACAAATATGCAAGTGAAATATTGATAATACTTTGCTCCTGGAAAAATATTTAAAATATTAATATTCCATATAAATTTGTACATTTTTATAAATGTAAAAAATAAGAAATGTAAAATTTTTATATATCATTTTAGCTTTATTGAGAAAATYGGTAAATAAATAAATCTTGAAAATTTTTTGTAAAAACAGTCACARTATGTTGAGTAGTAAAATTATTTAAAAATAGGTTACAATATACAAAATAAATTCTTAAAGATATAAACAAACAAAGCTTACATAAAAAATGCAATTCTTTCATAAAATTKGTAATCAACTAATATTTATCACATTCTGTCTTAAAAAATAATGTTTTTACTGATAACATGTTAAACACATTTTATTGGCTTCATCACAAAATCTGGAAAAAAAGWGATCAATTTATAATTAGATTTAGACTTTTGGAAACTGATGCAAAAATTTAAAATTGATTAATACTTACAAACTAAATGAACACATATTACAAAATATCTCTCCACATTTCCCACAAATATCTAATTTTTCTGTTTTTGAACAAAAATTACATTTTTTCTGATTGTAATTATTCACTTTTGAGTTCTATAAATATATTAAAATTAAAAAATTAAAACCTACTACCTAATTTCAATAAAAGTAATTTTTATAAATGCATACTACAAATAAAACATCAGGTTTGCACAGTTGCCCATCAAACGTCAATTGCATTTGTTTGGATGGTTTACTGTCGCAAGGAACTTTATCCACGACTACAGACTGATCTATTGCTTCAAAAGATGCTTTTGCTCTTTGAAATAATATCTGTTTAGTCTTTTCTGTAATAACAATAACACAATTCAATTGATAATGATAATAAATTACAATCAGAAATTGTCACTCTGATTAATATTACATTTAAAAAAAAAAAAAAATAGACTAAAAAAGGTTTAATTAATTTAAAATTTGAAATTGATTAAGACATTATAAAAACAAAAATAAATTTGATACTAATATCTAAAGATACCATATAAAATGAAGTTAAAATATTTTCATTAAAACTAAGGCCATTGAAGGCTAATTATGTTCTTATAATCTTATACATCGAAAACAATTGTACTATATCAATTGATTAGTAAGAGAGTCACTGGTACATATTTCTCAAAAAGATCAGAAAATTGATTTTTATCACAAAAAGTTCTCAAAGTGCAACTTTTCATAAATAAATCAAAAAAACAAAATTAAATATAATTATTTTTACTTAAAATGGTTCATATTGAGTTGCATGGAAAAAAATAAAAAAAATATATTTCGATTAGTTTTAGACCCGAAGAACTTGTAAATATTTAGGTGAAGATAACATTTACTATAGCAGTACCAAATTTCAAGATTATAATRACCCACCTATATGTGGACATTTATGTTTAGAATTTATTGACAATTATAAAAAAATAATTTAAATACATTTTTAATAGAACAAATTATATTTCAAAAAAAAACTAATATTTCCATGTTAAATTATTATTTGTATTATTTTGAGATATTTTTAAGTTAAAATCTATTTAGTGGTTTTGTGATGATTTATCAAAAAGTAGCACTTTTAACTTTTTCTGATAAAATCAATTGTTCGATMTTTTTGAGAATTAATTATGAAAAGTGTTGATTTCTGATCTTTTTRCGATAATTAGGAAAAAGGTTGTGGTTTGTGGTCTTTTCGTGATAAAAATCAATTTTCTGATATTTTCGAGAAATGTATACCAAAGAGACCCACTCACTATTCAATTTTTTATTATAGTTGTACATCTAAAGTTTTAATTATATCTACTGCTCTTAATTCGTTTTTGATGCATTGACATTAAGAATGATGATGGTGCCATAAGTTCACAAAATTCAAAGTAGTGTTACAAGTACAAAAATAAACTATAATATTATCTATCAGAAGCACTAGRTATATTATTGTTCTTACCATAAATTTCAGACATTTTAGATGGTCCCAAGACTCCGTTGGCAACTTGTTTCTCTCCAATATGTATTTTGAGCTGGGGACACATATCGATACCATACGGATACTTTCTCTTATTCATCTCGTCTTTAAATATGTATTTGTAATTACGTAGTTTTATTTGTATGGTCCTACAGTAAAAATCGAAAACAAATGTTTTTGAAATAAAATATCTGTGTACATACAACACAGTACACACTGTCACACTACTCACACTAAATAGTATACAAGTATACACTATTACTATTACTAATTACTAATACAAATTACAAAATAAAATACATTGTACACGGCTATATAAATACCATTTTAAAGTAAATAGAAAATGATACCGTTTATCTAAAAGATAATGAGAATATTGAGAATAATTCATAATTGAAAACTTGAAAAATAAAAAAAAACATGTTTTAAGTTAAAAATAAAATTTAGAATCACATAATAAGTATATAGGTACCTAAATAGTAGATAATAATTGTAATTTTTAACACAGAACTTAATTACGCTATTTAGTTCCTTTGTACTACAGAGTACTATAGAACTGTCATAATATTATATTCATATTTTGTTTTCATTTCATATTAAAAATGGTAAATAGGAAACGCGACGGCACATTGTGATAGAAAAATATTAAATAATATAACAAATTAACAACTATAATAATATTATAGTGTCGTACACTCTTACTAAGTCTATCGTTGCCATTTTGCCAAAATAAAAACGGCTACAGTATTGTCAGTATATCATTACAGTAATGCAGTCATCGTGATATGATCCGCCTTGTGCAGTTGTAGTTGTGCCCTGTGCCCTGTGTTCATGATTGTGTCTTATTCATAAACTTCTGATAACAATATCGGCATCTAGTGTTGAACCACAGAACAATATAGTTGAACTGATGAAACTTGTAAGCTCTTTGGATTTCGGGAAACATGACTTGTATTTTATTGTTGTGGATGGATATTCAGATATTCGCTTGTCATTAATTTTAACTTAACCAGTTGAGTACTCACTGCTTTTGTATAAAAGTTGGTGAAATTCGTTTGAAATCATTCAATTTTTACTTTTAATTATTTTAAGTTCWACAAAATGAATATTACGTCGGCAGCAGGCGTGATATCGTTGCTGGACGAGCCGGCACCTGAATTAAAAATCTTCGCACTCCGGAAACTAGATTCCATTGTAGACGAATTTTGGCCCGAAATATCAGAGGCAATTCAAAAAATTGAATTCCTTCACGAAGACAAGACGTTCTCACAACAAAGTCTTGCTGCTCTAGTAGCCAGTAAGGTATATTATCATCTTGGTTCTTTCGCGGACTCCTTACAATACGCGTTAGGTGCCAGCGATTTGTTTGATGTAAACGCGCGCAACGAATACGTGGAGACCATCATCGCAAAATGTATCGACCACTACACAAAACTGAGTGTCGAGGCTGCCGAAAACCCAAGCTCCCCACCTGTGATGGATGTGCGCTTGGAAGCAATTGTCAATCGTATGTTTCAAAGATGTCTGGACGACAAGCAGTTCAAACAGGCACTAGGTTTGGCTTTAGAAACAAGACGCATGGATATATTTGCCAAATCCATTGAATTATCCGACAATGTAAATGAAATGTTATCTTATGCTTTCCAAGTGGCGATGAGCACTATTGAAAATCGTAGTTTCCGCAGTACTGTGTTACGTTGTCTCATTGGTTTGTACAAAAACCTTGAAGTGCCTGACTATGTGAACATGAGCCAATGTTTCATTTTCTTGGATGATCCCAAATCTGTAGCTCAACTACTCGAAGGTCTAATACAGAATAATGATGAGAAAAACTGCTTAATGGCATATCAAATAGCATTTGATTTGTATGAATCAGCTACCCAACAATTTTTGTCTAGTGTTCTGGAGTCCTTACGTCAAACAGCACCAATACCTTCTGCAACTCATGTCATTAAAGCAATCCCTGCAGCTCAAAGTACCACAGAAAAAGAAACTGTTACTCCACCTATAGCTGTTGCTTCAACTGATGTCAGCACAGCTCAGCCTGTTGTTGAAGAGCGTTCTTTTGATTCTCTTGGGCCAGATGATAAGTATCGTCAAGAAGTAATCCAAAAATTAACCAAAGTATTAAGTGGAGAAGTGAGTATTGAGCTTCATCTACAATTCTTAATCAGGAGTAATCATACAGATATGTTGATCTTAAAAAATACAAAAGAAGCAATTCGAGCAAGTGTCTGTCATACTGCTACAGTTATTGCCAATGGTTTCATGCATAGTGGTACTACTAGTGATCAATTTTTAAGGTAAATATAATTATATATTCCTCATTATTATTTAAAATAATTAAATTACTTTTTACCAATAAATAATATATGCCAAATTGTATAGTACCTATTATTGATTTAGGAATACTTTGTACTTTTTTTTTTTGTGTTGACAAAAAAATTTGTTTAAATTTAATGATTTTACAAGTATTTACAAATTTGGTAAATATATTTGTATATACAGTGTGTAACAGTACTATTTGACAAATATAGTAATATTTGTAATGGAAATTTGTTAAATAGTCCTGTTACACCTTATATATATGTAAAAAAGTAACTACCTAATCATTAGTTGATCTTTTAGTTTTTTTTAATTCCCAACACTGCACTAATTGTGAGTCAGTATTTATCACTTGTTAAAAACAAATCAATCAAAGAATGCAATTTCTGTTTATGATTATATCGCTAACTAAGGCATGAAACCACCTATTCACTAATCTTCAAAATCGTTTTTAATGAAACTATTTATATAAAAATATAGATTATTGTGTGGTTTCTTGAGTATAATCATAAAATTMATTGTCTTTAAAAAAAAATTTTTATCTTGATATCTATTTATTGATTGTAATTTTAAATAATTATTTTCTATAGGGATAATCTGGAATGGTTAGCCAGGGCTACAAACTGGGCCAAATTATCAGCCACTGCATCTCTTGGAGTTATTCATAGAGGCCATGAAACGGATGCTCTTGAACTTATGCGTAGTTACTTACCTCCTAGAGAGAATAATTCATCAGGAAGTTCTGGGTATAGTGAAGGAGGTGGTCTATATGCTTTGGGTTTGATTCATGCTAACCATGGGGCTGCTATCAATGACTATCTTCTTGGACAGCTTAAAGATGCACATAATGAAGTAAATATTAAATATGATATAAGTACATTTAAAATGAAACACTATCTAAGTGTATTTTAATTTTAGATTGTAAAACACGGAGGATGTTTAGGAATTGGTCTTTCAGCAATGGGTACTAGTCGTGAAGATATCTATGAACAATTAAAATTCAACATGTATCAAGACGATGCTGTAACTGGTGAAGCTGCTGGATTGGCTATGGGTTTGGTTATGTTAGGATCAAAAAATGGTGAAGCACTTCAAGACATGGTGGCATATGCTCAAGTTACACAGCATGAAAAAATCTTGAGAGGTTTAGCTGTTGGGATATCATTTGTCATGTATGGTCGACTTGAAGAAGCCGATCCTTTAATTACCTCATTGTTGCAAGACAAAGATCCAATATTACGTCGATCTGCGATGTACACAATATCGATGGCATATTGTGGAACTGGGAGTAATATGGCTATTAGGAAACTATTGCATGTTGCTGTTTCTGATGTCAACGATGATGTACGTCGTGCAGCTGTCACAGGTTTAGGATTTTTATTATTCAGAACACCAGAACAATGTCCTCAAGTTGTTAGTTTACTTGCTGAAAGTTATAACCCTCATGTTAGATATGGTGCTGCCATGGCTTTAGGTATTGCTTGTGCCGGAACTGGACTCAAAGAAGCCATTAATTTACTAGAACCAATGACCAATGATCCAGTGAATTATGTACGTCAAGGAGCTTTAATCGCATCTGCTATGATTCTTATTCAACAGACAGAAAGCACTTGTCCTAAAGTGAAAGAATTCCGTACACTGTATGCCAAAGTAATTACTGATAAACATGAAGATGTTATGGCCAAGTTTGGTGCTATTCTAGCTCAAGGTATCATTGATGGAGGTGGTCGTAATGTTTCAATTTCCTTGGAATCTAGAACTGGTCATACTAATATGTTGGCAGTTGTCGGTTTGTTATTGTTCACACAATATTGGTATTGGTTTCCACTAGCTCATTGCTTAGCACTAGCTTTTACCCCTACATGTATCATTGCGTTAAATGCACACCTTAAAATGCCTCTCCTCGAGTTGAAAAGTAACGCTAAACCGTCTTTGTACGCATATCCTGCACCAATGGAAGAAAAAAAACGAGAAGAAAGAGAAAAGGTTACTACCGCCGTATTGAGTATTGCAGCGAGAGCTAAACGTCGTGAAGGTGGCAGTGTGAAAGCAGCTGAACTATCTACTAGTGAWAAAATGGAAATTGATGAAAAAGAAGCATCAACTAGTAAGAAGAAGGATGAAAAGAAAGAAGAACCAAAACCTGAGCCTAACTTTGAGATACTTAATAACCCGGCTAGAATAATGAAACAACAATTAAAGCACTTACAATTGGTTGAAAATTCATCATATCAACCTTTAAAAGACGTTTCCATCGGTGGCATCATCATGACACGTTTTACTAAAAATGGTGTTGAAGACGAACAGTTGGTTGAACCAGTTGCCGCTTTTGGACCTAAACCAGAAGATGATAAGGAACCTGAAGCACCCGAACCTTTTGAATATGCAGATGATTAATAATATAACACCTAAATATTTTTGTTACATCCTAACAGACTTTGTATAATTTTTTTTATTTAGACTTATAATTTATTCATCCATGTAAACTTGAATTAATTATAATAATACATAATTATATACATCAAAGTCTAGTGAGAATTATTTTTTTGTTACAGGTTKTACAAACTTTATAAATGTTCAATTGATGATTTATCTTTATGCTAAGTAATGTAACATTTATATAATCACTACATATGTAAATTCTCTTCAATCTTTGGTGATTACTTACATGTATATTATAGTATTTTAATTTTTGTATGGATTTTCAGAATGTTTATTAATGACTCATTACTAACAAAAATTGACTAGTTTCTTTCAAACTTTTAWAATGCTGATGRGGCAAGTGGTGTATTTATGTTTTTAGTAGAGAGRGTTAGTTGAAATTAAAAATAATAGTAATTTAGTATACTAATAAAAATGAACTAATGGTTACTGCAATTATTATTTTAAAGAGAATAGTAAGTTTTTACGTGAGATCCATTAATAAGGCATCTTATATTTAATAATAAAAACTTAAATTTATTAGTAAAAAAAAAATATTTAGGATTCAAGATTCAATTAAACTGTAAAATAAAAATTCTAACTACATGATATTAAATTATTTAGGTAACGAAAAAAGTTTACATTTTACTGTTTCTAAAAGGGCCTCATACATAATATGTAGTTCACTTATGTATATAAACCATGGTGTCATGGCTATCACTAATTTACATATTTCATTTAATTTCTTAATAGAAACTAATACACCATTTGTATGGATCAGTATTTATATATCATTCTTACGTTTACTTGAAAACATTTTTAAGCTTTTGATTGCATTTGGCCCAATGGCTTTTTGTTTAAGCTCAAAAGATTCCTTCTTACTGTACAACCTAACTGTAAAATTGCAATTATTCTCAGAATACCATTTTAAATTTACTACGGTTCACTCTTTCAGCAGTTATAAACAACAATGTTCCACAAGGCCGCATTTTATCTCGTATTCTATGGTAATATTCGACACAAAACTTGAGAACCACTGCTATAAGTTATTTTCTGTTACACACATATTATTTTTGAACTTTGTTCAATCCAAGGTCTATTATTACCCTATATAATCAACTCTGAATTAGTTATTAATTTCCTATTTACAATTAACTATGTTATTACTGTTATTATCGACTGTRCTTTAATTGTTATATTTTTACAATAACATAATATGAAGATAACACATAAATACCATTTCTTTGACCCATAAACTAGGAATATTAAACCCAATAACTGTAAACAGCTAGCAGCCCATCGAGGTTTTTTAACTCACCAGCTCGCCAAACTATTAAATTATTAAGATTTGAAAGTATATTTGTGATAATATTACTAAAAATMATGTAAACTATGTATAATTTCAATTTAATTACCTCTATCCCTATCTAAAAAATGTTGACATTATGCTGAAGCTATAGACAATTGAAATGTATTTTAATATTATAAGCCTGACCATAATAATAGTCCATAATATAAAATAATATAGGAGAAATATTTTTAACGTGATCAAATRATATTGTTTTATTATTAAAATAAAAATCATGTTACAAACAAGTATAGTAAATGTTAATCTGTARCAGAAGAAAATACTTTAATTCATATTAATATTATCCATTAAAATTGTATAAATACAAATGTAACGAGAAGAATWAGTGATTTCCACGTAATAGTTTAGMTAGAAAAAGGTGATTAATGTTTAGATTATTCATTACAGACAAAACAATACCAAATTTAATTAATTTTAAATGTTTTTTTAGGCTATGATAATTTAGGAATTTTTTATGTTTAATGGATAGGTTTGAATATTTATACTAGTTGTTTTCTAGTGTAAGTATATAAGATATAGTTGATAATGTAAAACAACATAAATTATATTTTAACATTTTAAAAATGGTCAACACAGAACAGAATAAATAACAAAACGTTAKGTTTTAATACTATGACAAAAATACAAATTTCAACAGTACAATTCAACAGATTTAATTAATCTAATCAGAAGTGCAGCTAATAACTTTCTTTTTTTTGTGCTAATTATTAATTTATTTTTCAAAGGTTATCTAGCAAAATCAAAATATTGTAGTTATAATAGTTTTTTACTGAAATATATTTCGAAAGATTGAAAAGGACCATTGTACTGCTTTGTATGGTGAAATGGAATTTTAAATTGATAGGGAAAATGATGTAATCATTATTCCAACACAAAGCCACTTTAACCTAATCAAGGCAAAAGTAAAACGCATAAATTCTATATCACCATAGTTTATAAATATAATACCAAACTAACATCCAACAAACAATTTATGAATTCATTTCTTCATCAATTTAGATAGTTCAATGCCCATAGCAGCTGGGCTCCTAGTAACGACCACACCAGCCTAAAATGTATATAAGTGTTAAACTATAAAATAATGACTGAACAACAATACAGGGTGTCTMGCAGGATTTACCCATTGCCATATCTCATGAAATAATGGAAATATTAAAATTCTTGTTTTATTATAAGATTCAGAGGGATAAGAACTACAATTATTTCATTTTTTAATTTATTTCAATGTTTTTGTAAAAAATGTAAAAAATATATTTTTTTATTTAATTATTTCCAAAAATATTAAAGACAGCCATTTTGTAGGGTTTATTTTTCTGAAAATATTGACGTTTCAAAATTKTATTTTCATTAATYTCCTGATTTTTAATATTTTTTCTAGTTTTGAAGAAATAAAATATGATTATAAATTTATAACTATTAGGAACACGGAAAATATTTGGCCGGCCGTATGGGAATGCGCGCAGCGCGGCGGGTCACATGTTTGATAACATTACAGTGTTAAATAATTCGCAATTTTTCTTAAAACTAAAAAAAGTATTAAAAATCAGGAAATTAATGAAAATAACATTTTGAAACGTCAATATCTTCAGAAAAATAAACTCTACAAAATGGCTATCTTTATTTTTTTTTTGAAATAATTAAAACAAAAATATATTTTTTAACTTTAAAACAAAACCTTTACAAAACGTTAAAATCAATTAAAATATGAAATAAGTGTAGTCCTATGAGTCTTATACAAAACCAGAATTTCGATATCACCATTATTTTGAGAGATATTGCAATGGGTAAATCCTCACGGGGCGCCCTGTATAATACTAAATCACCTTTTCTAATGCATTTATTTTGTCTTGAGCTCCACCTTTTCCACCAGATATGATTGCTCCAGCATGGCCCATTCTGCGACCAGGCGGTGCTGTTAATCCAGCAATGAATGATACAACTGGTTTAGCATTTGGACCCTAAACAAATAATATACATATGTTTTCAATAATTAATATTCATATTAAAATAATGAATACTCACAGTATTATGTTCAATTAAATACTCAGCAGCCATTTCTTCTTGTAGACCACCAATCTCACCAATCAAAATAATACCGTGTGTATTTGGGTCTTGTAAAAATACTTCTAAGCAATCTATAAAATCAGTACCATTGAATGGATCACCACCAATTCCAACACAAAGCGTTTGTCCAAGACCAACTTGAGATGTTTGATGAACTGCTTCATAAGTAAGTGTACCTGACCGAGATACAACTCCAACAGATCCTTTCAAATGGATATGACCAGGCATAATACCAATTTTACACTAGAAACATTTCACAAATATAGATAAATACAATATAATGTAAAGTTGAAAAAATGTTTTACATACTTGTTCCGGAGCAATGATTCCAGGACAATTAGGTCCAAGTAATCTAGATTTGTTCTGTCTGATTAATTTATGTTTCACTCGTACCATATCTTGCTGGGGAATCCCTTCTGTAATACAAACAATTAAAGGAACCTCGGCATCAATAGCTTCTRAGATTGCTTTTGCAGCGCCTGGTGGTGGTACATAAATAACTGTAGCATCCGCTCCGGTTTCATCTCTTGCCTATTATACACAATTAAAAATAAAGGAATTTTATAACTAGAACAATTAATTTATTATTATTGTTATCACCTACTTCTTTGACTGAATTGAAAATTGGTAAACCTAAATGAGTTTTTCCACCTTTGCCAGGGGAGACACCGCCTACCATACAAGTTCCATACTCAATAGCCTGAGTAGAATGGAATGTTCCTTGTTTACCAGTCATTCCTTGACAAATTACTTTAGTATCTTTAGTGAGAAGTAAATTTTTTCTTGTTTCTGCATAGATGCGTGGATCAACTGTATTTGATGATGATCGTATACCCATTAAATTGCATACTACAGGAATTAAAAAATAACTTTTTAATCAAAATCAAGAGATATTAAACTTTTAACTGTTTTATAATTATTTRATTTAAATGTTGGATGATTAACTTGTTTCAAGTAAATTTTTTATTACATCATTATTTAAAAATATTTTTGCTTATTAAAACGTTGCACATCATTATAAAATTAATATAAAAAARTAAATAGATTACACATTTACACTTAAGAATAATACACAACTATATTATTTTTAATAAAATGAACCTTGGTACTTAAGTGCAGTTCACACAAAATAAAATACTTGTGCATTACAATCACAATTTTAGTTAACATATTCAACATGGCTGAGTAATATATTATAATTCATTGATAGTTAAAAATTTGAGGAATTTGGAATGTATGAACATAARAGTTCCACTGGCACTTCCTTATAGAATCTCATATAACATAACAATACTAGGAAGATGCACACAAGAAGCTTAAATGATTGAACCGTAGGGTAACAATARGTACAATAGGTCAAATACACGAACCAGGAAGTCGAATTATCTGGAAATCTGTGATTTAGTGTCCTAGACGCAGTACGGTTATCGGAAGGAGCGCGTCGTCCAAAATTTAAGGTGTTGCGTTAGGGCCTATCTTACCTGCGATTCTGGAGAAAACCCTGGTGGAAGCGGCCATCGTGAGCGTCAAATTTATGTCGGAGAGCTTGACCGGTTAGAGAAAAGCGACGGCAACCAGAAAACTGATGGTATTTCTAGAAAAATAATCGGCTGCGGGCACCACCAAGTGCAAGTGATAAGAACGCCAGAGGAAAAGGTCGACGACGGCCGCGGCTGTTCAACCTCGACGGGTGAAAATTGATCGACGAAAATCCGTCCGCTATCACACATACCGATACCGATGAAACGTTCGTTACACTCGGGTGGTGGTAGGAACATATGATGTGGGGGCGTKGGGCCAGTGCTGCCAATGTGTGATACTACAAACGTTATAGCCTTATAGCAGCAGCAGCAGCTGAGCTGTAGTGAGCTGTGCTGTACTCGACGGTCGACAGTCGTTCATCCACCCACCCATGCAAATCAACATCAACATTAGTAGGCTATCATACGCATGACGRTCGTCGACCAACCATAGGGTTCGTGTACAATAATCTATCATGCGCACAACGACACTGTTTACGGTTTATCTACACTGTTGCTACGTMTTGTCGTGCGCCTGTGCGCCTCGTCCTGGCTTGACGTCCTGTCGGTACTTTGGTAGGAACTAGTTGTGCGCGGGTCGGGGAATAACAGTACGACACTGGTGGTCACCGTCACCCGTTCCTCTCCGCACCATCAAGACACTTCTATTCCTCGGCGTACGGTGGAGAGAAGAGAAAGACCAGATCACTCTATAGTACGGTGTACAACTAGTCTAGCACAGAGCTGCTGCAGCCGCGGCGGCGGTTAGTAATWGTYGAGTTGCATATGTTTGTGTGTGTGTATAAGTATGTAATAAAGAAAAAGAAAGGAAGAAAATCGTTCTCTCACCTCTCGGCCGATACGATATATTATGGTCGTACCCGTACGAGTCTGAGTGCGCTGCTCGGCGCTCGCCGCGGATCCTTGTACTGTCGGGGTTCTTATGATTTTCGTCTCATCACGAGAGAACGACTATTTTCCTGACTTTTCGTCCTGCTTGTCACCACCGCTTTGGCTGTCCGCTCAAATATGATTTTGAGCTCCCGAATCRMGYACCGACGTGCTGCACGCCAATCCGTCAACCGAGGAGACGATATACCTGGTCATCTACGTCTGTCGTCAAACTCGAAATAGCCGTTTGACTTGACTCTTCTGACCGTGTTGTGAACAATGTTACCTGCTGTCGTATACGATGCGGTTGATTCATTTTGTGTCCGACAATAGCAATCATTTTGCATTCTGACACCATACCAACAGTAGAAGCTCCTTAACATCATGATGCGTACCAAACGGCACGAATCCGAACAGCCAATCATATATGCTCTGCTTCAAGAGGACCCACTGCGAGAGCTGTTTGAAGCCTGCAAGTCAGGTGACTTGAACAAAGTCAGGCGTCAAATAAATGCTGAGACAGTCAACGCTAGAGATACAACCGGCAGGAAAAGTACTCCTCTGCACTTCGCCGCAGGTAAATAAATCAATGACATGCTGTTCTGAAATAGATGGTACCTACCTATGCTAAATAGTGAATAGGTGTAATACCTAAGTTTTTTATTTTAATGGTTACCTACCTCTGTACAAAAACACCAATATTTTTATACCATTACCATTTAAAATAGTATTTATGGATATTCATTATCTTTACTAGGTCCCTACCTACCTACCTACCCATTTACTTAAATTATTATAAAATTGAATTGATCAAGTAGGTATACTATGTGTGAGCAATTACATTTGGTATATATTTATTTAACGAAAACCTTGTTTTTATTGTAAGTTCCTATTTTTTAAATTATTCGACAAGTATAAAATAATTAGGTAGGTATCAAAACCAATTATAGTGAGCTACCTAGCTATGTACTGTGTTTTATTGTCATGAATAAAAACAATGACAATATTGAACAGCTGATAGAAATGATTTTTAGAGAGGGAGTTAGGTAGATTTKACACTACCTAGGCATAGGTATTGGGTGCCTATTATTTATTAAAACTTAATGAATTAAAATGTAACTAAAAAAAAATAAGAATGAAATTCTTTTTAGTATATTTTGATTTGTATTCAAATGTATTTAGGTTTAATTACCTACCTTAAATAGGTAAATATTGTATACTCAAGTCCACTAAATATGAAAATATGAAAAATAGAAAGTAATTATATAATACAATGTTGTTGTGTAATAAATAAAGTCGATATGAAGTTAAGTAAAGTTTGTAAAAATTTATATCATTTCAGGATTTGGYCGTCGCGATATAGTTGAACTATTGTTAGCTGCTGGAGCATCTATTCAAGCTCACGATGATGGTGGACTTCATCCATTACATAATGCCTGCTCATTTGGACATGAAGATGTGGTGGGTTTATTACTAGAAGCTGGAGCCGATCCAAACACTAGAGACAATTGGAATTATACGCCTCTTCATGAAGCAGCTGTCAAAGGAAAAATTGAAATATGTATAGGTAAATTTCAAATGGAATATTTTATAAATTACCAGTATTTATTATTTAGTATTTACCATAAAAACACGTATTGTATAGCTTTATTACAACATGGAGCAGATCCGACCATTCGAAATTCAGAAAATAAATCACCTATTGATTTAGCCAATGTTAGTGGAGTACCTGGTATCAGCGAAGTGTTAGTGGGAGAATGGCGAAAAGATGAAGTACGAAATAAAAACAATTAGAATTAGGTACATTATATTAGTAATTTAATTATTTTACTCTAAAATGTTTATAGATTCTTGAATCTAGTCGATCTGGAGATGATGCTAAATTAGCATCACTTTTAACACCTCTDAATGTTAACTGTCATGCAAGTGATGGACGTAAATCCACACCTTTGCATTTAGCTGCTGGTTTTAATCGTATCCGGTGTGTTCAATTACTTCTTAGACATGGTGCTGATGTCCATGCAAAAGAYAAAGGGTATAAATRATTTTGAAAATTGTTTAATTTTAATATAAATTTATAACATTATATTTTAATTCTAGCGGTCTTGTTCCACTACATAATGCTTGTTCATATGGGCACATAGAAGTGACAGAAATGCTCATAAAGCATGGGGCTTGTGTTAATGCTATGGATTTATGGCAATTTACCCCTTTGCATGAAGCAGCGTCTAAGTCACGTGTAGAAGTTTGTTCCTTATTACTAAGCAAGGGTGCTGATCCAACATTACTAAATTGTCATTCCAAGTCAGCTATCGATTTAGCATCCACACGAGAGTTACAAGAAAAATTATCTTGTTAGAAAAAACAATGACATTTTTTAAATAGAACAAATATTTATAATATATTATTTTTTTATGCAGATGAATTTAAAGGTTATTGTTTATTGGAATCATGTCGTGTAGCTGATGTATCAAAAGTTAAAAAACTTTTAAGTTCAGATATTGCTAAATTTAAACACCACATAACTGGAGATACCGCTTTTGTAAGTTGTGATCACATGTGTCCTGTACATAATACTTTATTATATTTGGGTTTACATTTTTAGCATATTGTAGCTGCGTCATTGGGTTCAAAGCGCAAGCAAGTTATTGAACTTTTATCTCGTAAAGGCGCACAAATTAATGAACCTAATAAAGATTTATTGACCCCTTTACACATAGCTGCAGACTATGGYCATTTTGATGTTATGGAAACATTTATCAGACTTGGTGCACGAGTTAATGCTACTGATGGACTTGGACAAACAGGTAAATATTATTTAATCAGTTAACTTGTTATAAAAATTACTTTAATTTAATTACAATATAATTATTATTCTCAGCTTTACATCGATGTGCAAGAAATGATTGCTTACAAGGCTGTAAAATTCTTTTATCCTACAATATCGATACAAACATCACATCAATGCAAGGATTTAAAGCAATTGATATGGCTACCGATAATATTAAAAAAATATTACAAGGTAATTTACATCACACATCATATAAACTTGATATAATTTTATTTAATCTTTATAACACAATTTTACATATTACAGAGCCTCCTGTGGTTTTAGATTTAGAATCTGAACTTTTAGAAGCTTCTAAGGCAGGCGAGTTAGAAAAAGTTCAGAGAGTATTAATTGCTTATCCTCATATTGTGAACTGCAGAGATTTAGATGGACGGTAATAATTTAGTACTTACTAATAATTAACACAAATTTAATGTAAAAAAAATTAATTGTTACTATTAACTTTTGTATATAATAGACATTCCACTCCACTTCACTTTGCTGCTGGATACAATCGTGTCGCAGTTTGCCAATATCTTCTTTCACATGGTGCTGATGTTCATGCCAAAGATAAAGGGTATGTATACTTGAAGTTAAATAATTTTATAATCAAAAACTACATAATTTATCATATTTGTATAGTGGTCTTGTTCCTTTGCACAATGCCTGTTCATATGGCCATTTCGAAGTTACCGATATGTTAATTCAACATGGTGCCAATGTAAATGTTTCTGACTTATGGAAATTTACTCCACTTCATGAAGCTGCAGCTAAAGGAAAATATGAAATTGTGCGATTATTACTGCAGGTACTTATTGTTTGTTTATTATCTAAGAAAAGTTACTTAATATTTGTTTAAAATAAATTTAGCATGGTGCTGATGATACAAAAAAAAATCGTGATGGACACACTCCTTTAGGACTAGTAAGAGATAATGACAATGAAGTTGCTGATTTGTTAAGAGGTAATGCAGCATTATTGGATGCTGCTAAAAAAGGCATTCTAGCACGAGTTCAGAGACTTCTTACTTCAGAAAACATAAACTGTCGAGATACCCAAGGAAGAAATTCCACCCCGTTACATTTAGCTGGTAAAATTATATTATTTTTATTGGGTTTTTTCAAATTTTATGCTCAAATTCATAATAATATTTTATTATTCAATCATTTTTAAGCTGGTTACAATAACTTGGAAGTAGCCGAATTCCTCCTAGAACAAGGAGCAGATGTTAATGCCCAAGATAAGGGTGGCTTAATTCCTTTACATAATGCTTCTTCGTATGGCCACTTAGATCTTGCTGCTCTTTTAATCAAACATCATACTACTGTGAATGCTACTGATAACTGGGGTTTTACCCCGTTACACGAAGCTGCTCAAAAAGGTCGTACACAACTTAGTGCACTTCTTGTAAGTTTTAATCAAATTTTT